GGACCCTCCTTTTCGTCGTATATATTAATGACCTAATGACCTGGATTCACAGACACTCTGTGAGGTATCTACAGTTACAAGTGACATCAGGTTGTGAGCCAGAGGAGACAGCAAAGGTCCGACAGTGGAGGCTGGGCAATGGGGGTAAAAAGCTGGGAGAGGAACAATGAACTTTGCTGCCGAGTGGCTGAGACAAAGTGAAGCTCTGTCAAACAGCACAAACAATGTGCCGGGAGGGAAGCCACTGACAAAGGCTCCATTCAGCATCGCCCAGCCTCCGGCTCCACCAACTCCGTGCCAGGCAGCGAGAGCGCGAGGAGGGGTTGAGGACAGTGTCCCGTGCTCTCTGCTCAGCTCACACCCTCCCCCATCAGCCCCTATCCCCCAGCCTGACACGGCTGCAAATCACAGTTATAATAATAATCCTTTGCACTTGGTATAGTGCCTTATCATATCTGACGTCTTTGAGACGCCTCAAAGCGCTTCACAGGATATACTGTAATATATAGTGACTGTATATTTGTGGGCAAAATGCGGCAGCCAATTGTTTGTGGGACAGCAGCGTCCTACAAACAGTTGTGGATAAAGTGGACAATATTTTTTTCTTTTTCGACAATCAACCTGTTCCTACTTACTGCTGGGCAACCAGAGGTGTGTGTGTGGAGTAAGCAAATTTGCTGAACGTTTTGCCCTGCCCGCCGGGAGTCAGGGCTGTGCAAAATCATCCATGTCCCCACCTATGCCCCCTCCCCCACTCGCTCTCTTCCTCCCACAGCTTCAGGCGAGTGTTATCGAATTGTCACCTGAAGCTTCAGCAGACGAAGGGTTAATCAGCGCTCAGAGACAGAAAATACAATCCTTTGTTTCTTTTTACAAAAAATCATTACAAGTGGTTCATTCAGTGTCCATCTATCAGCGCAGCTCAGCCCCCTACATTGTCAGCGTGACCCCCACCCACTGCCAGAGCCCCCGCTGCCCCCCCCACACTCTCAGTGTGACACAGGGAAAGCACACACAGTGTGAGGCTGGAGATGGACAGAGCCCCCACACTGTGGCAGTGACCAGTGTGACTCCACTGTAACCTGCCAATAACGGGAATGGTCGGGGGAGGTGGGGCTAAGTTGTCCACGTGATTAGAAACCTTCAGCTCTCATGTCACCAACTCGGAGCAACCCCCCCCCCCCACCTGACTTTTGCCCCCATCACAGCATCGGTCAGTGTCCTGGCCTTAGCCCTGCCCGGCAACTTTAACCCTTTACAGCACTAACCTGGCCTCGTGTCCCCCTGTACCTGAAGCATTGACCTGGGTTTGACTATTGCTCTGAGGCGTCGTCACTTAGAGAAGCAACAGCTTAATACAGAAATCTTTGTATTTGGGGAAACACGTTTCACGTCAAAGCTCTTCACAGGATTCACTGTAAAAAGTGTAGTGATTGTTTAATTTTGTGGTCAAATGTGGCAGCCTATTAGTACGCATCGGCGTCCCACAAACAGCCATGGAGTGAGCAACTAATTTTATTTGGGGGACTGTTGGCCAGGAAACCCAGAGGCAAACTCCCTTCTCCCTTCAAGTAGTGTCGCGGGATATTTAACATCCCTAGAATACAATGAGCTCCCAATTGCAAGATTGTTGAACAATTTACGCTTCTACAGCGCCCATTACACAGAGCTATTCACAGAGAGTGTGTGGGGGAGGGGGTCTCAAGGTGGAGGTTATTAAGATACAGACCCCCACTATCTCCTCCCCCTCACCCTGACCATATTCCCTGCCAAAGCCTCGCTGAAGGCCAGCGACACAGCGTTGAAGGAATGACTGTCAAACTCCTTCAGGAAATGTAGACGCTGGAGTCTCAGTGTCAGGGGGACATTCCAGACATTAAATATATAACAAACCAAATATTCAAACTATGTGACAGCAAATTCTTGACCCAAACTGCAAATCTCAGATAAGAGAAGACAGACTGTAAAGTCATTATTCTCTCCCGGCACGAGGCAACCGCGGAGATTAGACACAGCTCAGAACACACTGTCCCCAACAAACAATATACACCGTCAGCAGAAAATCACACGCCCTGAGTGGGGGGGAAACCAGAGAGAGAGCAGGGGGAGAGAGTGAGAGAGAAGGACAGAGACAGAGAGAGAGAACTCTTCCCACGTAGGAGTGAGCCTGTGATGTGTGGCACCTGTGCGGCTACTTGTTTAAGTGCAGACTTAAATCCCCATTACCCTGTGTGGTGTATCAGCCTGGCTCAGTCTCTGAATTGGGGGTTCATGCCCCGCATTAAGGCCTGAAAACCTTCCTTTTCGACCATATAAGTCACCTCCTCCCCCACGGTTCAGAGTCAGAGCACTGTTAAGCGCTCCGAGACGCTACCCTGCATGGAGGGCGCTATATAAGTGCAAGTTGTTATCTCAATCACGTTTAGGCTGATTCTCTTGTGCTGCAACCTTCACTGAGACACTAAACCCAGCTTCCTGTTCAGGTGGGCATTAAAAACAGAAGGGAGTTTCTCTCTCCCTCTCTCTCAGCACCAACAAACCCCAAAGAAACTCGCTTGTTGCATGACTGTTTGAGGGATATTGCTGTACACAAATTGAATGCCACTTTTGACAAAAAAATAATCACTATACTTTACTGTGAAGCTACGAGGCGACACCTCAGATGAAGACAGTGACATCAAATACCAGGATTATTGGTATCATCACCCCCCCTCCACATCCACCCCCCCCACCCCGCACCCCCAGGGGAGTTTATTCCTCATCACTCTCGGGGAACACTCAGCAGGTCAGGCAGCATCTATGGAGAAGACATGGACCAGCCCTTGGCATCTCTGCCTCCAGCTCCCACTGAGTTGGGTTAGAGAGAGAGAGAACCGGGGAGAGAGAGAACCGGGGAGAGAGAGAACCGGGGAGAGAGAGCGCGAGAAGCAGAAAGAGAAGAATTTTATTGTGGTGGCTATGGGGAGAGCGCGGGGGAGTGGGATTGATTTGGAAGCTCTTTTTAAAAGAGCCGACACAGACACGATGGGACGAACAGCCTCCTTCTGTGTTGGACAATTCCATAATTCTATGAATTACATTATTGTCATTATCTTCTTATATTTAATTATATTTATTAATATCTAGTTCTCTCTCTCTCTCTCTCTCCCTGCTTCTCTCTCTCCCCTTCTCTCTCCCTGGTTCCCTGTCTCCCCCCACCCCCCTCAGGGGGAGCTGGAGGTAGGGTGACCATGGTCTGGTCCAAGCGTTGCTCCCGCATTCTCTCCTAATATAGTCACAGCAGAGACACAGAGGGAGAGACAGACATCGACAAGAGACACACACACAGAGACAGGGAGAGAGACACACACAGACACACAGACAGGGAGAGAGACACACACACACACAGAGACAGGGAGAGAGACACACACACACACAGACAGGGAGACATACACACACAGACAGGGAGAGAGACACACACAGACAGGGAGAGAGACACACACACACACACAGACAGGGAGAGAGACACACACACACAGACAGGGAGAGAGACACACACACACACACAGACAGGGAGAGAGAGACATACACACAGAGACAGGGAGAGAGACACACACACACACAGACAGGGAGAGAGACACACACACACACAGAGACAGGGAGACACACACACAGAGACAGGGAGACACACACACAGAGACAGGGAGACACACACACACAGGGAGACACACACACACAGGGAGACACACACACACAGGGAGACACACACACACAGGGAGACACACACACACAGGGAGACACACACACAGAGACAGGGAGAGAGACACACACACACAGAGACAGGGAGACACACACACACAGACAGGGAGAGAGACACACACACACAGACAGGGAGACACACACACACACTCAGACAGGGAGAGAGACACACACACAGACAGGGAGAGAGACACACACACACACACAGAGACAGGGAGAGAGACACACACACACACACACAGACAGGGAGAGAGACACACACACACACAGACAGGGAGAGAGACACACACACACACAGACAGGGAGAGAGAGACACACACACACACTCAGACAGGGAGAGAGAGACACACACACACACTCAGACAGGGAGAGAGAGACACACACACACACTCAGACAGGGAGAGAGACACACACACACAGAGACAGGGAGACACACACACACAGACAGGGAGAGAGACACACACACACACAGAGACAAGGAGAGAGACACACACACACACAGACAGGGAGACACACACACACAGACAGGGAGAGACACACACACACAGAGACAGGGAGACACACACACACAGACAGGGAGAGACACACACACACACAGAGACAGGGAGACACACACACAGAGACAGGGAGACACACACACACACAGACAGGGAGACACACACACACAGACAGGGAGACACACACACACAGACAGGGAGACACACACACACAGACAGGGAGACACACACACACACAGACAGGGAGAGAGACACACACACACAGACAGGGAGACACACACACACAGACAGGGAGACACACACACACAGACAGGGAGACACACACACACAGACAGAGAAAGAGTGAGAGTTACACACCGAGGGAGAGAGAGAGACACACACACATAACACAGAGAAAAACAGCTTCACCTGTGCCCCACTTTACAGCCACAAACGCACACACAGCGCAGCACAGCCCCGCGAGGGAAGAAAAAAAAACTTTTAAAAAAAACAGAAAACCCCATCAAAACAATGCAAAACCAACAAACCCCCTCCAACAACCCCCAAACCCCCAAACCCCAACCCCAACACACAATAATTCTCCGCCACAACAGCTGCCACAATCTGCTCATTAAACACTGCCCACTTTCCACCTCCAATAACCTGAGCCCAAACTTTGGGCAAAAAAACTTTCTGGGCTAAGACTTGTTGTTGTTGTTGGTTGTTGTTGGAATCGATCGATTAAAGATTTATTTTCACATGAAACGAGAGCCTCGACACACTCACCCATCACTGACACCACTCTGTCCCGATCCTGGCATCACTGAGAGCAGTCAACGCTCTTAAAGCCACAGTCCCACCCTCCCGGGTGGGACTGTGGCTTTAAGAGCGTTGATTGCTCTCAGTGATGCTCATTTCCCTATATTTAGTAAGAAAATTATTCCTGGAGCGCCGTAGGGTTAGAGCGTACGCCTTGCCTCGCGAACACCAGGACCCGGGTTCGATTTCTCGGGCGGGGGCGAAACCTTAGCCTGGTTCGGGTACCCTTCGGCAGGTGTCAGATGGCCGGGCGGGTGAGAAAAATGGGAGGTGACCGTGTGTGACCGACGGGGGGAGTAAAAGGAGAGGGAGGAGCAAAGCGACCTGGAGTCCTGGTGGAGTCGTGGGGTGCGGTGGTTATGATGATCCTGGCATTGTGAGATAGCGCTGTTCACGTCTTCTCGGCGTCTCAAAGCGCTTCACGGAATAGGCTGTAAAGTGAATTGACCGTATACTTGTGGGCGAAACGCGGCAGCCGATTGTGCACAGCAGCGTCGCACAAACAGCCGTGGATTGAAAATGACCAATTAATTATTGTTTTGGAGGGATTATTATTAGGCGTGCTCCCCTCGCAAAGCAAGAGGCCCCAGGGTTGAAACCTTGGCCAAGTTTCCTTACTCACGGCTCTGTTTACCAAGCAGTAAGTAGGACGATTGTTAGTCGATTGACGGATCAACAACAACAATTTACATTTGAAAAGCGCCTTTCAAACCGGGAGGGTGTCCCAAGGCGCTGGGATCGGCTTTCCTGGCAGTAATAATCCCTTCAAAAAAATTGAATAATAATAATTGTTTGGTCGCTCAATCCTTGACTGTTTGTGGGATAGTGCTGCGTGTCATTGGGTGCTGTGTTTCACCCCCAAAATATACATTCACTACACTTGACAGCATATCCTGTGAAGCGCATTAAGACGTCTCAAAGATGTGATAAGGCGCTATATCAAATTCAAGGATTATTATTATTATTAAAGTGCTCAGTAATACAGGCTGCAGCCTTTTTCTGTCAATCATCAGCTTTGTTTGTCTCTATAGACCTTTAATGTTTTTACTGGGGTCTGCAAACCGCCTCCCTCCCCTCACAGTATATGAATAATAATAATAATGTTTGCATTTGTTATAGTACCTTATCACATCTCTGAGACATCACAATGCACTTCACAGCATATACTGTAAAATGAATTGACTATATTTTGTGGGCAAAGCGTGGCTGCCAATTATGCACAGCAGCGTCCCACAAACAGTCAAGGATTGAGTGACAAAATTATTATTATTTATTTTTATTTATTTTTGAGGGGGTTATTACCCCCTGAAAAGCAACCGCCAATCACTGAACTACTTACTGCTACTCAAACAGAGTTGTCTGGATAACATGAGAAAACCTGCTTTCACCAGGAATCAAACCCGGTTTCTCTCGCTTGCGAAGCAAGTGGTCTAACCACTACGCTACAAGTCTCTACTCCATATTCTAACTGTTTCTGATGAGCCGTTTACACCCAGGGGAATTAGTCAGAGAAATAACAATGATCCAAACAAAAAATAAAAATTATGCAAAAATTTGATTTTTTTAAACAATTCAAACATAGGATAATTTCTTTGGAATGATACATAAGAACATAAGAATTAGGAGCAGGAGTAGGTCATTCGGCCCCTTGAGCCTGTGCCCCGCCATTCGATAAGATCATGGCTGATCTTCAGACCTAACTCTAATTACATAGGCCAGTTTTCCTGAATTGTGTATTTATATCACACATTTTATCACACAAAGCTATCAATGTGCTTTATCATCAGTTGAAGGTTAAAATAAAAAAGAATATAAGTCCTTGCTCTATACAACAATATACAAGATAATTAATGATTGTGCAGATATATAGTGTCTTTCTTTCACACAGATATGAAAACACAAACAGAATCACTTTTAATAATAATCCTTATGCTATTGTACAGCACCTTATCACATCATTGAGGTGTCTTGAAGCATCTTACAGAATGCACTGTAAAGTGAATTGACTGTATATTTTATGGGAGAAACACGGCAGCCAATTCACAGAGCAGTATCCCACAAACAGTCATAGATTGAGTGACCAAATTTTTTTTAGCTAAAACTAATAACTGGGTCCCTACTTACTGATAGGTAAACAGAGGCATGCGGAGTAAGGAAACTTGCCTAAGGTTTTGCCCCGCACAGGAATTGAACCCAGGTCCTGTCGCTTGTGAGGTGAACGCTCTAACAAATCGACTACAGGAAGTGAAGCACAGAAAGTAGAAATCAAGAAAAAACCTCTTTTAACACCACGTATTTTTAAATTCCAAGAATAAAATAAAGGAACAGCAGCTCCTCAGGCCGCCTTCGGTTGGACAAGACAGGGCTGGACAGGGAATGGCAGCACAGGACAAGACAAGGCAGGGCTGGGTAAGGCAGGGCAGGACCGAGCAGAGCAGGATTACACAGTCAGTTACTGTGTCCTGCTGTAGCTATGGGTCACTGCATTTCTGTGTCAGATCCTGTCCTCAAATTTGGAAGACAATCAGATGGCACAGCTGACGTCAATTTTCTCTGGGAGCTGAGCTCTGGATGGGGTGGAGTTCTGGATGGGGTGGTGCACAAAGTGAACAGCAGGAATGACAGTGAAGCACAATCCTCCTGGGCATGTGACATCACAGGGATTCCTCAGGGATTGAGAATTTTTGCTGGTGTGACGTTTGCTGATTAGTGATTGTAGATGCAATAGAATAAGAACATAAGGATTTGCTATGCGAAAGAAGACCAAGATTCATCCAATTCGCCTTCCAGCATCCCGGCAGTTGCTTGACATGTTGTGTCCTAAATTAAATGTTGTATCTCTCCAATTACCGCCCTATCTCCAACCTCTCTTTCCTTTCCAAGGTCCTGGAACAAGTCATTGCTTCCCAGCTTCGCTCCTTCCTCTCCCACCACTCCCTTCACAAACCTCTCCAATCTGTGTTGCCTATAAAACAAAATTAGCCCTGGTCAAAGTGACAAATCACATTTTGTTCATCAGACCAGGGCAACCTCTGCCTCCTCGTCCTCCTTGAGTTCTCTATGTAAGAAAATAAAATCAGCCAAATCTGTAAGGAAATAACGCTAATTCCTTTAACTAGAATCAGACTGTTTTATTATTATTCGTTCGTTATTCCCCAATATCCCGATGGGTCAGACCAAAGGCCGATACAATCAACGGATCTTACAACAGAATAACACCACTATAGATATCTCGAGTTCAAGAGTTCAACACTGTGTCTTTCCAGCACACGAGCTTGATTCTTCATGCTTTCAGTCTTCTTGCTTACAGCTTCCAATCTTCCATCTGATATCCTCAGTCTTAGTGTTTCTAGCTCTCAGTCTTCCATCTCCGTACCCTTGTCTCCGCAGCCCGGGACGGCTCCATCTCTCTTATCCTTGTCTCCACGACCCGGGATGGCCCCATCTCCCGTACCCTTGTCTCCACGACCCGGGACGGCTCCATCTCCCGTATCCTTGTCTCCGCGACCTGGGACGGCACCGTACACAAAGTTATCGGAACTCTTATACCAATGTTCATCCAATCATGGTGCGGACATTAGATCACCTGCTGAAATCATGCCGGGTTCACGTGAACACCTCATGTGCCTCACACACACACACACACACTGTCCTTAAGACCCCTGTTATCTGATCTAATTGTCTAAGATAGAGGATTGATCAGTTTAGGACTGTATCTGGTGCTCATTATTTTGTGGTGTGGGATCAATCCTTTTAAGTGACTGGTTATTCCTTATCAGTATCCCGGGATGGTACCGAGGCCCTCTAGTTTAAGCAACTTGCTCATTAGTGGCTATTCTTGAGGGTTGCCTTCTGTCGCTCGGCCCTGTCAGAATCTAGCGACTTATTGCTCAGTCGAGATCCTGTGTCGACTGGTACCTTAGACCGTTCCCTCTGTGGCTTGTTGTCATTTACTGATAGGAGGTGACCCCCGGCCCCTGTCCGTTATTCTTTCAAAAACAGAGAAAACCAGATGTGTCCTATCCCATGACTGTCAGTCCAGTTGTGCCCCACACTTAACTTAAAAGTTAACCCATTCACAACATCTATTATGATTCTAGCAGTATACAAAAAGTGTAAATTCTAACATCTGCTGCCTTTGACATTGTTGATCACTCTATCCTTCTCCGCCTCTCTAATTTTAAGACTATGTCCCCTTGTTTTGTATTCCCCCACCAGAGGAAATAGCTTCTCTGTATCCACACTATTAAATCCCTTTATCATCTTAAATACCTCAATCAAATGAACCCTCAACCTTCTAAATTCAAGGGAATACAATCCAAGTTTAAGTCATTTTTTCTCGTAACTTAACCCTTTTAGGTCTGGTAACATTCTGGTGAACTTGCGCTGTACCCTCTCCAGGGCCAATATATCTTTCCTGAGGTGTGGTGCCCAAAACTGAACGCAGTCTCCAGATGCGGTCTGACTAATGCTCTATTCTACCGAAGCATCATTTCTTCCCCTTTGTATTCAAGGCCCTTTGAGATAAAGCCAACATTCCATTTGCCTTTTGATTACTTTAACCTTCATGGTCCTGTCCTTGCCTGGTTAAAATATTACCTTTCAAACTATCTCCATTTGTCTCCACAAACGACTTCTCCTGCAGCTCCCGCACCATCTTGGGGCATGTTCCTCAGGGCTCTGCCTTTGATCCCCTCCTCTTGAACATCTATGTGTTCCCTCTTGGTGACATCATCTGCAGACATGAGGTCAACTTCCATATGTATGAGAATGACACCCAACTGTATCTCTCTGCCTCCACCCTTGACTCCAGGAACATGACTGTCCTAACAGAATGTCTGTCAGACATGAAGTTCTGGGTGAGAGCTAACTTTCTAGAGTTGAATGTCAACAAGACCGAGGCTCTCCTGATTGGCTCCCGTCAGTGCCTCCTCACCTCAGGTATTGACAGCATCACCATCCATGGATGTAAATTCCACCTCACGAAGCTAGTCCGGAACCTTGGCATCTTGCTAGACACC